CCCCCCCCCCCCCCCGCCCTTATTCGTGACTTGGGGTAGACAGGATACCCATGCGAGTAATGCCGATCCTTTTTTTCTCTTTCTTCATTTTCTTCTTCTACCTACAGTTTCCTTTTTTCTCTTTCTTGTTCTTTTTATTTTTTCAGAATAGTTTTAACTTTTAGTTCTAGTTTTGAAGTTCTAGAATTGTTTATAGGATTTTTAAAATTTTGTCATCTATTATCAAATATTACGTTTGTGATCCCCCTTTTATAGATATCTTTTTTTGGATAAACCTTTTGGACCATCTACCTTGTCAGTATTAAATTGAAGACTAAAAGTATAGTTTCATAATAATAATATATCTATATTGTCATAGCCAATGTGAGAGATCACTATTGAGTGCTGATATGTTGTATGTGAACTCGAGTCATTTTTTCACTGCAACCATATTCTACGGATATCTTCTTTGGTCAAAATTTAGGTCCACAGTTGTCATAATCATTATTGTTGTGTTATCAGTCAAACTGACATCAGACTACGTTACTATACAAAGGATCTATGTGAAATTGTACTTTTATCTATCAATTTAACACCAGCATGATAAAATATCAAAAAAATATCCATAGAAAGGTATCAATAAAAGTAAGAGCACTGGCAGCGGCAAGGTGAAACCTTGCCACGCCCTGCCATTCGTGTAGAGGGAAGCGCTGCAGCAGGCGAGGAAAAAAAAGGGTCGCGAGGCATTCCCCGAGTCACTTCGCTTTGCGTGGAGGATGCGAGGCAAAATTGAAGGAGCAAAATACAATTACTCTCTTGGAAAATCATCTGTCACTCTCTTCTCCGCGCTAGTCTTCTCCGGCCTTGGTTTTTTCTCTTCTCTGCGCTAGTCTTCTCCGGCCATCATCCTTCACCTGCAACCCTCAAGTAACTCTAGTTTTGATTGCTTTGCATTCAATCTCTCTGCCTGATCTCTTTTAGGTTGAATGGATTCTTTTTAATTCACCAAAAAATCAAATAGATGAATTCATGATAGTGCACACTATGTGTTTGACAAAATGTCCAAATGTAGGTTATTGAGTTTTGAGACAAAAAAATACTATTGTTGTAGAAATACTTCTGTTCAAAGTGATTGTAATGTAAAACACCCACAATTTGATATTCTTTATTGAAGCATTTGGAAATATTAAATGTCGGCTATATTGCTAAGATATATGTTTGATGCTGATTTTGCTGCTATTATGAAACCTATATTCAAATTAAAATGGGTAATAAAGTGATGAACCAGATTGGATGCTGGATTATGAAATGCTCTAGAGTGGTTAGATGTCTCAATGTGCTCAATTATCAAAGTTTATGTATAGTTGTTACATTGGCTGCAAATTGTCTCTGAATCATATAGAAATGCAGTGTTTCTTGGACAACCTTTATTACATGCACATGCCATTTGACGGCACACATAATAGAAGATAGAAGTGTGCTTTGTCTAAAATGGGCACTTACACTGTTGGGAAAAAAGTGACAAGGCATAGTAAACTAGGTTTATCTCTTGAACCAAAATAGGAGATGGAATGTATTTTGGAACAGTCAAGTATGGAGAGGTGGAAGTTTTCAGCTGGGCGAAGGGAACAGTATGACAAGGAGAGAACAGTATGACACCCCCTCATGTGGTTGCTCTTACAAATGCAGTACAACGCATTGCAGCGATTCGGGAAAGGGAGGCAGAGCAATGCATTTTGGTGGAGCAAGCACGTATGTATGCAGAGGAAGCTCGTGCTCGTGCGGACGAAGATAGGCTGATGATGATAGATACATCTACCATCTCAGATCCCATTCGACGTCGATACTTTGAAGATAGGATTGCAGAGGTTATGAGGAAGAGGGGATACAATTAATTTGAATTCTACATTTGTAATCTCAATTTTGTTTAGACATTTGTGTTATTGTGACTTTTGTTTGTTAAAGAATTTTATTCATGTAAACAAATATTTTAGTTCTTGAATTATTATTATGATGTGTTTCTCGTATTTTTTAAATGGTTGTAATAGACTTTTAAATTGATGCATTTTTATGATTATGTTCTTTATATTTCTATCCCAACTTTTATTTATATAACTTCATATCGAATTTTTAAAGTGTGCCGTCATAATTTATATTCTATTTTTAATTTTCCATATTCAAATACATTACCAAATAATTATGAATAATTAAAGTATACTCCGTACAATTTAAATCTTCACAACGAAATATAAATATTTATAAAAAACCAAAAATAAAATATATTGAGTTGAGAAAAAGTAAAATAAAATGATTAAAATATGTCAAAAATCTAAAGTGAGTAAAAAATAATGACTTGCCACTGCAGGACATACCACTCTAATGACATGCCACTGTGTGACTAGATTAACTTTGATTGGTTAAACAGTGCCATGTCAGCGTGTGACATTCCAGTATATGACTTGTCATTGTTCATGTTCTAATACCACGAACGTAATATTTGTTAGTAGATGATTGAATAGAGAAAGCCCCTTTTATAAAGGATCATTAATAGAATTTAATCTTTAATGTTATCCAAGTATTTAAATTTAGTATTATTGTCTAATTTCATTTTTTTTTGAAGTATTTACCTCTTTTTTTTTACCTCTAACAGATTTGCTCCCATACCGAATAATTTGGGTATCAAAACACATCAAAAAGTAGACTAGAGGGTGGGCCGCGCGCCATTAATTGGTGATTATGAAAGAGACAAAGTAATCAAAGATCCCAACAACTTCTCAATCTCTCTCTCTCTCTCTCTGTCTCTCTCTTTCTCCCAAAGGAGATCTTCCCCAGATTTATATCCTCGCTCCTGTCCTCAGCATATCGAATTCCCACTCCCCGAATCCTTTCTCTTTCTGTAAACACATCCAATTTTCTCAAATCTTCATGAACCAACTACCAGATCCATCATATTTTCTGATGCGCACCCATTCATATGTGTGTGTATATATATGGGCGTCCAATTTAAACAAACCCATTCATCCAAGTTTAATTGTTCTTTAATTTTGTTCAATTACATACCTTGATCCAGTCACATAATTCGAGCCAAAGGATAATGGAATCCGCCGCCGATCAACGCAAGTTCCACGTTCTGGCCGTGGACGACAGCATCGTGGACCGGAAGCTGATCGAGAGGCTGGTGAGGGCAGCTTGCGCCGGCGAAGATGTGACCGTAACGGTGGTGGATTCCGGGACGAAGGCCCTCCGGGTGGTGGAGGAAGCGGAGGTGAATCTGATCATCACCGATTACACCATGCCCGGAATGACCGGCTACGATCTGCTCCGGGAGATCAAGGGCTGCTCCGCCTTCAAACACATCCCCGTTGTGGTGGTCTCGTCGGAGGACGTCCCGTCGAGGATTCGTAGCTGCCTGTCGGAGGGCGCCGAGGAGTTCTGCCTCAAACCCGTACGGCTGTCCGACGTCAAGCCGCATCTCTTGAACGCCGCCTGCAGAGGAAGGCCGGCGGCCGGACTGAATCCCGCAATTTGCGGAACCGCTTGATTTATCCATTGTCTTACGGACTACTCTGTACTAATGAACTACTAATTAATGCAAATTATTAGATCAAATTTGAGGAATTTGAATCCCTTTTTGTTTTGGTACTGAATCGAAACTAGAAATCAGGAAAGGTGAAGGACAAATTTGAGTTCGATTTCAACCCTAGATAGAACCAAATGCTCCGCCTTCTCGCCGCAGCTTTCGCTCCGATGAACGACGGCGCCGCCGCAGTAAAAGTAAAACACATCAATTGGAAAAACAAAAATGCTAGGGGTACCCCATTTGTACCCCCGAAAAAAAATTAAAAATAAAAAAATAAATGAAGGGCTAGGATGCATGGTGTACAAAACGGGGTACCCCAAATGGGGTACCCCTAGCATTCCTCTTGGAAAAATGAATATACTCCGAATAGGGATGTAAACAAATCAAATACTTTTAGTTCGATTCGTGATTTCTATTCGAATATAATGATTCGAATTCGCATTATTCAAATACAAATTCAAATTCAAATATCAATTTTGATTCGAATATTAAACAAAAACAAATACAAATAGAAGTATGTTCGATCCGGGTGATATTCGAAAATTCGAATATATGTATATACACACAAACCATGTCTCAAGATCAATATAGTCAAGTAAAGTAATATAGATAAATTATTAAAAATTCAACAAATTAACGAATAGTTATATTTTATAAAATATAATTTGTGTGATGTGAAAGTGTATTAATGTTTTTAGATAAAGTATAAGAAGTATTGTAAGTTAAATTATTCAAAATCTATGTTGGTCTATCATATAAATTACGCAGTATGATTATTAAAGTATTCGTTTAGAATTCGTCAAGTATTCGAATATTAATCAAATACAAATTCAAATCTTATTTTTAATTCGTCTCATATTCAGATTTGTATTCGTATTCGAAAAAATTAAGCAAATACAAATTCAAATATCTTGATATTCGCTTCGATTCGGTTCGTTTACACCCCTAACTCCGTAGAAGGGATTATTTGTCAAAGTTACCAAAGGAGGAAAATGATTTTGGGCTCATCAGTGATAGTTTGATCGCTACTAAAAGAAGCTTCTCGGCCATCAATGGAGTTAAATTAGTTCCTTGAGTTTAAATACTTGTTCCATCCATGTGAATCAATTTGACCTTTGGGCAATTAATATTGGATTGTCTTTCATCCAACTTTTTTTTTTAAAAAAGTGTTCTAGATAGAAGTTAAACATTAATGAACTTGTTTAGATTTTGGTAGTTCGTTGTTTGTGCAAGTTATTCTAAATGATGATTTAGTTTATCAAGTTTGACATGTAGGATGTGTTGACTGATCATTAAAAATATTTGTTAAATTAGTTGTTTCAAGATTTTAAAAATTATATAAAAATAATACTTCCTCTATCTAAAAATACGTTATTTATGATATATGACTAAAGATATAATCAATTAAATTAATTTCTGTAGTAGCATTAAATTGATCAAATTACATAATATAAAATATTTAAAAATTACATTGAAAATTTTATAAAATAAAAGGAGATTTTATTTGTTCAGTAATTTGTCCAATATTTTCAAAATCTATTTAAACTAGATATTTTTGTGATATGTACTTTGTATTTGTAGAATACAAAGTAGTTAAAAGTTTAAATCATAGTTACAATATTATATTTTTAAAAGTTTTTTGAAAAGAAATCATTTTAGAAATTTTATTTTTTAATCAAAAAAATCTAAACATAGTTCAAAATAAATACATTAATAACTGGAAAAAAATTGCAACAAATTTGTATTGGATTGTTTTGAGACTTGAAGCATCAGTACGATATGTCACGTGGATTCACGCATGATTCTCATGCATTGATACTCATGAACGTGCCCCGTTCACTAGCATATTGCATCAAGGCGTCACTCAAAACTTGTTCGTCGATCTGGCCACTCCTCCGGACTTATTTACCTTATTCCAAATACTCTGTAAAATTTGGAAATTTTCGTTTGCATCTCTCACCATTTTTCGAGATCATGTCTGTCAAAGAACCAACTCAACTAAAAGCTCAAACTTGTGGTTGTGGCCCAGGAAATGATTGTTATATACTCTAACACGCCCCTCACGTGCAGGCGTGACCTCTTTGAGCCTTGCACGTGAAACCTTAATTTTTTTAAACTGGGTGGCGGTGAGTTTCAAAATCGTGACCTCTTGGTCATCAAGGCTCTGATACCATGATAGAATTTAGGATGGTGTATGAACCATTGGATTGGGCAATAAGACCCTTAGCTTGGGTTGAACCGCATTAAAATATTGAATCCAATCGATTTTTTAGTTCAACTCAAGAGCTTATATACCGATTATTTTTACTCTTGAACTTCCGATGTGAGATGCACTCTAACACCCCCCCCCCAAATGGACAACCGAGCCATTTTGAATCTAACCGATTGACCACTTGCAAATGAACTCCCATTCCCTTAATTTTTTTGAGCGCCAACACCTAAAGGACCACGAGCCGCTGGGTATGGACTTCCAGACGAGCAATCGTGTTTAAACGGGCCACAGGCCGTTGGGTACATACTCCATACGGACAACTGGGCTAAAGACTAACGGGCCGCCAGGAATGAACGTCTAGACGGACACCTTGACAAACGAGGTTGGCCAAAACCTGCTTTGATACCATAATGACTTTGGAATTATTGTATCTTTTCATTACATGAATATGAAACAACACAAGGATATAAATACTTAAGACTCCAAGGGTAACAAGGAGTCACAAACGGTAGTCTCCTAATTATGCAATTATTAGGACTATTAATATATATGTCTAACAATGTCGTTGGTGTGGTATTGGCCGCGCGGCCCATCGTCTCAACAAATAAATCCTAAATGCGAGTCCAAAGTTCTGAGTACCTTTGATTATGCCCTAAAAATGGAATAAAATTAAGACGTATTAGAAAAAGAGAAATTTACCTAAATAGGACTAAAACATAATGACTTTCCCAATATAGGACCATATGTTTTTATTTCCCAATGTAGGACCTTTGGTCATTATCACGAAGTCATTATTCAACTAAATGTGCATCATTGCTGGACATTATTCCTTCCACGAGGTCATTATTAAGTCCTATTTATGGAATAAAAAAGTTTAAGTCCTACATTAGGAAAGTCATTGTGTTTTAGTCCTATTTAGTGCAAATTTCACTTAGAAAAAAGTTTTAAAAACAAAAAAAATTAAATGGAATAACCGAAAAAAATAAATTATAAGGAAACATACCAATCTGAGGATCCTCGAAGGTGTCAATATAGGCTTTGGCTAGTGCACCCGCATTCTCCTCCATCCATTTGGCCATGGCTTCATTGTTTTTGTCGGCACCTCTTTCTTCTTGTGTTTTCTCTTCGAGGGTACCGGCTCGGAATCATGGCGGGTTGGGATTGAGGAGGCGATTCATATTGGATTTTAGGAGCGTAGTCGTTCCTGTAATCGGGTGCGGGTTGAGTGGGTGGCGTAGGAATTTGGCTCAGTTGAAACCAATAGGGGTAATTGTACATAGGGTTTGTTGGAGAATTGAGAGAATTTAGATTATTTGAGTCAATTTATGGTTGATAACAGTTTAAAAAAATTAGAACATGAGTAAAAAAAATATTAATTGGAGGAGAAGATGAGAAGTGAAGATGTAGAAATGAAGAGAAGAAGAAGGATGTGGAAATTGGGATCAGAATTTTTATAATTTATAGGGGAGAATGAAAGTCTTTTATACTCCTTCTGTCCCGGAGTATTCATCCAGTTTTAACTTTTGGAACTGTTCATCTAAGCACTTTGACTCATCAAATTCTCTCAATGTGTAAGCCTAAACATAGTCATGTATGATCTTATTTGATTTGTCTTAACATATAGATTATTAATATATAATTTATATAATTTTTTAATATACAAATTACAAGACAAAATGAATTAAAAAAATGCATTGAATGGTGTGTAAAAATGAGGGTGGACAAATAGAGTAAGTATTAATTAATGGGTCAAACGGCCGATTTTGACCGTTGGAAATGGCCGGCGCATCAATCGAGCGGCACATCGATCGAGCGGCGCATCGCTGACAGTGGCCATCCAGTCACACTGACGGTCACACCGTGACGGAGCGGGATAAGCCCCGTAACACATGATTTTATGAGGAATGTTGAACCTAAGAACTACCCTATAGTCATTATTCCTCAAATGGTCTCAATGAGCATTATTGTTAGGTTCAAGTCATTTATTTACAAGGACGTTCAAATCTGGTCATGAATCCGGTCCTTTATTAACTGAGAGTTCAAATATTACAGATCTAAAAATTGAATTGAACACTCGTACAAAATTGTTCTCAAATTCGATGTAAACACTCTAAAAGGAAAAGGATTTAACAATTATAGGCTGCCGGGGAATTCGATTCCCCGATTAATTCGGACGACCCAATCAAACGGTCCCGCAAACTGCGGGAGTCAGTCCCGTCGCCGGCCTCCCTTTGCAGGCGGCGTTCAGGAGATGCGGTTTGACGTCGGCCAGCCGGACGGGTTTGAGGCAGAACTCCTCGGCGCCCTCCGACAGGCAGCTGCGGATCCTCGACGGCACGTCCTCCGACGACACCACCACGACGGGGATGTGTTTGAAGGCGGAGCAGCCCTTGATCTCCCGGAGCAGATCGTAGCCGGTCATTCCGGGCATGCTGTAATCGGTGATGATCAGGTTCACCTCCGCCTCCTCCACCACCCGGAGGGCCTTCGTCGCTGAATCCACCACCGTCACGGTGACCTCGTCGCCGGAGCACGCCGCCTTCACCAGCCTCTCGATCAGCTTCCGGTCGATGAGGCTGTCGTCCACGGCGAGAACGTGGAACTTTTGTTGTTGATCCGCCGATGCCATTCCCGAAGTTGGTTTGAGATTAATTTGAGCTCGAAGTATATATATTCAAGTAATTAAGGAGAAATTGGGGATTGGATTGGTGTTGGGGAGATTATGAGTGAATGAATGGAGTATAAATATATATAGGATGAAGATGAGAAATATATTGCGGTGGAGTGAGAATCTGAAAGTGTTAGGCAAATGGAGAAGATGATGATTTGGGATCGGTAAGATCTTCTGGTTGGGATTCTTGATTAGGACATCCAGCCATGTAGCAACCTGGACTTTTCAATAGAGAAATTTAAAGTATTAAAACATTTGTTATTTTCTAATTTAGTACTTAAATTTTTTATTTTTTAAACAGTACTCTAATAATGTCTAGTGTTAGGAACAATATTCAGTGATGGTGAACATTTTGTTTAAACAATGTCTAGTGGCGGTAGACATTTATGTAGTACTTGAATAATGACCAATGATACTACAAGGGAAAATAAAAACATATGATATCACATTAACAAAGTCTCAATGTTTTAATACTATTTAGATAAATTCCTTTTTTTCATAAAGGATGAGTCCCCATCTCCCATGAGCATAAACACTAGAACCGAAAAAATAAATCCCGATAGATTAAGATTGGGATCAAAAAAATGAGAATATAGTAGTCTTTGAGACTGATCCAGTCTTGGATCGGTAGTCTAATCTGATCCATGATTTTTTTATGGAAAACTAGATATGTCTTGGACCTGATCCGAAAGACTAGACCAAGATTGGACTAAAACTAGAGATGTAATGTATTTGAAATACAACCTCTATGCATATATTTTTATATATTAAAATTTAATTTTTATATAAATACCCTTATCCTATTTATATTGAGCATAATACTTTACACTATTTTTTATAAATTTAGAAATGAGTTATAATAAAATAAAAAATCATATTGTATATATTTATAAAAACATGCACATTAAAATTTATTTTTTGTTGATTCTATCCCACTCTACCTTTATGTTGCATAATTATTATAGATCTATAAAGTATAGAAATAAAAGAAATTAAATAATCAAACATAAAATTTTCTATTTTATAAGTATTTTTCTGAAGAAAAAAATTATAAATTTTAAAGTACATATATAGGACTGGCCGAACTCGAGACCGGTTCTAATCGGACTACCTGATCCTAAAAAGTTCTTATTTATTATAAACACCGGACTTGTCTGGATCAATTTTAAAAAGGGATGAGACTGATCTCGTCCTAAATATTACTAGTCATTTCAAGAGATCAATTCGGTCTCATTAGTCTAGTCCTTTTAGCTTATCTCTACTACTAGGGCCCCTCAAAATTGGTTGATCGTAGATTGTGACAAGAGTGAAATCTACACTTGGTATTTGGAGAATCTCTATACTTGCATAATTGTCTCATAGTTTAGTTGACATGAACTTTGACTTTTCATAGTGCCCGAATCTTTCATTCCAAAATAATTTATTTTATTCGAATGACGTTCTGAATATTGTGACTTTTAAATTTTATTCTTATAGTTTGAAATTATTAAGTCCAACTTATACATTTAAAATTTATATAAAAAATTTTATAAAATAAAACATAATAAAAGTTTTATATTTTTTATCCAATGAATAAAAAATACAAATATATTAAAATTATCAAGAAATTGCAGCTTAGTAGTAGAGAAGTAAATTATTTTAGAACAGAAACGATAATTTTTATTTGAATATATAAAAATAATTCTTTTTTTTCATTTAAATAAAGAAAGGAGTAGTTTACATTATTTTTTTCTCTTGCGCACAAATCTCTATTTTTCCATCATTAGAAATACTAGAATCGCAGATAAAATATTCACAATCACAAAGTTTACAAATTAACAATTATAAACCTGCTAAAATTAAACTGGTCTTAAACAAATTAACTAAAATAGTAACATATAGTAAATGAGTTGGGTTTGGTTATGTGGCCACTCTGTTTGAGTGACTACGAAGAACATTGGACACCTAAGGTGCTCTATTTGCAAACTCAATAGTTCCTATCCCCTAACCCTCCGAAATCCCACTCCTACACACTCTCGACCCCAACTATCCCCCTACTATACCTACGTCAATTGTGAAGTACAAGTTTAGTAGATTTTTAGGTAAAAACTTTTGACTTCGAAATCAATTAAAGTTGCAAGCCGCAATTGACATATGTAAGAGATGAGTTGAGATTGAGACTGGGTGAAGGGATACACTAGGGGAGGGGGTGAGAACAACCAATTTTATGAAGGAAGTATTGTAAGTGTCTTAATTAGGAAAATGTCGGGTTCTAGCCTTCCAGGCCATGGAAATGATGGAATCGGAGTGATTGTAAATATTTGATCTTTATTGCGGAGTAAAATTATGCCTGTGAATAGTGACTCTAGCACTTTCTCTCATGCTTCCTCTATTTTAAAATCATTTAAACATTTACTAGTTGAGCTTCCTGAAACCTTCATCTGTTAAAAAAGGAAAATGTTAGGGGTACACTAAAAGTGTAACCTAAACATCCCCACTCCCTCCATCACCATACAAAAAAGGCAAGAAAATTTCAAAAAAAAGTAAAATATAAAATGAAAATAAAATGAATGGTGTAGAAGCAAGTGGTGTACATTTGGAGTACACCTTTGGTGTACCCCTAGCATATCCCGTTAAAAAAATATATTGATGTATGTTAGGAGTATTCTGTATTGTAAAAACATTTCATGTAATTTTTAAATAATTTGTACTTTTTTCTATATCAATTTATAGATAAAATATTTAAAAAAATATGAAATTTTTTACGTCATTCAAACAGTGTAAATGAAATTGAGACGAAAGAAGTATCATAATACGGAATAATTGTATATAATACTCGTATACTCCGTTTTTTATTTAAATTGCGTGAAATTTAAATGAAGGCATTTACGGAGTATTTGAGAAACGAGGGAGTACGTCTGAGTGGACTGCCCTAGCTAGATTTCTCTGCTTTTTTTAATGGCCTACCTGATTTTTATTCCACATTTATGGATCAATTCAAAAGTCCGTGCTTCCAAATTTGTCCCTCATTCATCTCAATAAAGTTTTACAAACCTTCGTTTCTAAATATTTACCACATTTTTAAAATTGAGGTAAAATATTAATTTATTCAATTTATTTTATTTAAAATTAGTTATAAAAATAAAAAATAATATATATATATATATATATAAATTACATGAAAAGTTTTTTGAAATAAGAAGTGTCCAAAATATTTTATTTTATCAAAAAATTAATGAAAACATACAAATAATAAACAAAAATTTTCGTGACTGTTGAAAAAACAAATGTGGGAAACATTAGACTGCTTTCAAAGAAACAAATTTTTTCCAACTTAATAAATTTAATTCACTTCCTAATTTATATTCTAAAAACAATAAAGTAATTATATGAGTAATAGATGAAGGAAGATAATCATCTGAAAATACTCCGTAATACAGTAACATTTATAAATAAATAAAGAGACATTATTTTTGAATTTAAACATAAAAAAGACACTTTTTGCATAAACAATTTTTATTTGTATAGGGCAAGTCAGGTATTAGTACGTTTGAAAAAAAAATTTGTGGGGTTCACTGAGCTAGGGTACCCCTCCCTCTGTACCCGGGTGCTTTATTTATTTAATAGGCCCGCTAGATTTTCACAGTACTCATATTCGTGTTGTTTGTGCCCTACCACGTGAACTCATGTGCCTTGTGACTTTTGAGAGGTCCAATTTTCATTATTTTTCATCAAAAATTCTTTATTAAAAAATGAACCCCTCTAAAGGTTCTTTCACGCTTGATCGAATAATAATTTAGGCTCCATTCCGTTCAATTTATTTTTTTTGATCTGATTAGATTTTTGTAGTTCTGATCTGATCTGATTGGATTTGAAATGATATGATCTGATTGGATCTGAAATGATCTGATCAGGTCTGATCTGATTGGATCTAATCTAACCTGATCTGATTGTATCTGATCTGGTCTGATTTGATCTGATTAATTATTATCGTCCCACTCTTTTTGTCCACTTTCATTTTTGCACACCATCCAATCCACTTCTTTAATCCATTTTATCTTGTAATTTGTATATTAAAAAATTATAAAAATTATATATTAATAATCTATATGTTAAGACAAATCAAACAAGATCAAACATGACTATTTTTAGACTTACACATTGAGAGAATTTGATGAGTCAAAGTGCTTAGATGATCAGTTTCAAAAATCAAAACTGGACAAAAAGAATGGGACGGAGGTAGTATTTGATTTAAAATTCAAATAAAAAATTTGATTTGACTTTAAAATAACGTTTGAAAAGTGTAATGATAATTCATATTATAATAAAATTAATATTTTTTATTTTATGATTATTTTTTAATAAAATAAAATTAGTTAATTCATATATTAGTGTAATAATATTTTATTTTATGATTATTTTTTGTGAAATAAGAACATTGATTTAATATTTTAATAATTAGTTCATATATATACATTAGAATAAATATTTAATTTATATATACATCAAAAATTAATTAACTTTAGATAATCAATATAGAGAAAAGATAGTATTTTTATTAAAATATCTCATCCTTATAAAAGATCAAAACTTTAGAAACTCAAATTACATGTAGCAAAAAACATGTATTTTAAAAGTAGAATTAGAAACTAATCTGATCTAATTTGATTGGATCTGATCTGATCTGATCTAATTTTAATAAGAATAAGAAAAAATATGTTGAACGGAAGAGGGCCTAAGAGAGCTAAATTATATTTGAATTACACATTAGTTGTAGGGGTAAAGTATGCATTTAATACTTACAGAGACCTTCTGTATAGTTGTTTCTCAGCGCAGTTGCTAATATTGAGTTCGAGTTTGATACAATTTGATAATTATTAATCTTATTGAATAATGAAATATATATCTCTATATATAAGGATTAAGAGCGTGTTATTTAGGACTGAAAAAAATAGCTGTGTGTTAGAAGAAACTAGAAGAAATTTGAAGAAACTAGAAGAAACTGAAAAAACTTCAAAAAAAATTAGAAAATATAAAAAACTATTAAAAAAATTATTTTTGTGTATTTTTATATTATTCTCATTCTAATTGTTGTTGATAAACTATTATTATTATTATTATTATTATTATTATTATTATTATTATTATTACTATTATTATTATTATTATTATCATCATCATCATTATCATCACGTTATTTTAATGAATGTCTTTAAGATAAAAAAAGTATTACTATTTTCCATATACAAAAAACTATTGTTGAAAAAAAAATTATAATATAAAGTTAGCATAAATATCAAAATGTTAAATTTTAAAAAGTTATTGTGGTTATATTGAATCTGAATCTATTTATGTAGTGTTATTATAAAATAATATATTTGTAATTATACTTTATATATTACAAGATTTTGTTTTAAACATCAGACATGCCACATAATGTAATCAAACCTATTTTTTCTTTCATGATTAACATTTTGTTTTCATTGTAACTCCTATTTTTGGAATAAAGACATAGAACATCTTTTATACATTTTATACTTTATTCTTATTTTAGTATTTTTTTTAAAAATTATTTTGGATTTCAAAATTTTTAAAAAAAATTAGAAAAATGATAAAAAGAAATTAAATTTTGAAATAAATAAAAATGAGAAAAAATGAGTAATAAAGGGAAATATGAGGGGTCTTATATAAAGTTAGATTAATAAAACATTTTATGTAACTATTTTATCTATAATTTTTTTTAATATGGATTAAAATATTTATATTTTCCTATTTTATCGTGTAGATTAATATTCAAAAAATATCTTATTCATATTAAAAAGTTAAAGAAAAAAATAACAAGTGTGAATCGTAAAAATAGTGGGATGACAAAAACAATTTATAAACTATAGTTATAAACATAATAGTTGTAATGATAATAATAAACACATTAAAAGTATTTCGTTTTTAGAATATCTGGTTGGGGAGTAGAAAGAGTTTGAAAAAAATGAGAATAGTTGGTAGAAACTAGAAGGAACTGAAAAAACCTAGAAGGAACTGGAAGAAAATGGTAACAATATAATATGAAGTAATTTTATAATGAAAGGAATAAATAATAATATTCAATTTCATAATACATCAATAATGAGGAAAAACATGGAGCACATACACTCAAATTAAGCTAGCAGAAGAACTTTTGTGAGGATAGTCTCTAAAAGTAGAGAACTGGATCTTCGTTGTATGACGAATGGGTTTGAGATTAGGTTTGCTAAGTTTTTTCATGTGAGAGTGTTGGCGTGTTGGAGCGAAGGCCAGGAGTTTCTTTTTTTTCTCCTTTGGGACCGTTCTCTGCTTCTCTATTGCTTTCCAAGCTCTCCATCTCTAGAAAATCACAGATAAATGCAATTTTTCCATTCTTTGATCAGGCACACACGTTTTTGAGAAGAGAGAGAAAATCTTTTTTTCTAGAGAGAACGAGAGGGATAATGGACGGCGGCTGTTAGATACACTCGTCGAGATTGGTCAGGTGACGCCATGCTGTCGGACGATCGACCGCCGTAAATAGAGATCGACGATGTGCTTGGTCTTAAAGAAGAGTCTCAGTTTTGGAGAACCTTAGCTCTGATACCATGATATAATATGATAATAATTGGTCTTATTGAATAATGAAGGATGCAATCATATATATAAGGATTATATGAGAGAGTTCTAATCATAGTAAGATAACAACTATGGTAACAATATAATAAGATTGAGTGAAAGTGATTTTACTCTGTTTGGCATGTCGTCTTCGGCTTTTCGTTACCATTATTTTGTACATAAAATACCGTTTCAAAAACATATTAATAAAATGTTTTTGCTTTTAGCTTTGGTAGAAATCTTTATCTATGGAGTATCATTTAATGTAGGGGTGGGCAAAAAAACCGAACTAACATGGTACCGTACCGGACCGTAATGGTACCAAACCGTTTATAGTGTTTTCAAACGGGATTGATTTTTTTTATCACGAACCGAAACCGAACCTATCCCAAATGGGACGGGACTGTGATACAAATATTTAAAACCAATTATCACGGACCGAACCGCTAACGCTATATACGGAGTACATATCTCAAATAATTATGGAGCATATGTCTACTTCATCTTACTGTGTATAGAGTACTTCGTATTTTATTATTCATTTTTAAACTCTCTCATTATTATTGCTGTTATTATATTTATCATTACTATTGGCATTATTTTTTTTATAGTTATTAGTATTCCGATATTATATGAATTGGAAAAAAAATTATTTTTTAACATTGGACTCGTTATCTTTTATTTCTTTATGTTTATGATTGGTTTAAATTTGAGATCAATACTTTAATTTAACATTCTTGTGCTTTTTTATACATATTTATAGATTAAATTCAATATTTTCTAAGTAATGTACGTTCATTTTTTTTTGGCACGGTTTGAGCATGGGTATGGTATTGTACCGTTCCGTTTCAAAACGGAATGGTACCGAATCGTTTTGGATAGGGGTGGGCGCGGTCCGTGATGGTCCGTGATACTACCGGAACCTATCACGGACCGCTATTATTTAAACGGTTCGGTATCGGTACGGGATGAACTCCAAAACGATTCGGTACCATTCCGTTTTGAAACGGAACGGTACAATATCATACCATGCTCAAACCGTGCCAAAAAAAATGAACGTACATTACTTAAAGAATATTGAATTTAATCTATAAATATGTATAAAAAAGCACAAGAATATTAAATAAAAGTATTGATCTCAAATTTAAACCAATCATAAACATAAAGAAATAAAAGATAACGAGTCCAAAGTTAAAAAATATTTTTTTTTCCAATTCATATAATATCGGAATACTAATAACTATAAAAAATAATGCAATAGTAATGATAAATATAATAACAACAATAATAATGAGAGAGTTTAAAAATGAATAATAAAATACGAAGTACTCTATACACGGTAAGATGAAGTAGACATATACTCCATATTTATTTGAGATATGTACTCCGTATATAGCGTTGGCGGTTCGGTCCATGATAATCGGTTTTAAACATTTGTATCACGGTCCCGTCCCATTTGGTATCGGTTCGGTTTCGGTTCGTGATGAAAAAAATCAATCCCGTTTGAAAACACTATAAACGGTTCGGTACCATTACGGTTCGGTACGGTACCATGCTAGTTCGGTTTTTTTGGCCACCCCTAGTTTTGGAGTTCATCCCTTACCGATACCGAACCGTTTAAATAATAGCTGTCCGTGATAGGTTCCGGTGGTATCACGGACCATCACGGACCGCGCCCACCCCTAATTTAATCCCTAATTTAATGACTCCCAAACACTTTAACCACGGAAGATCTCATGTTTATTTCTTCTTAACATTTCATAATAATCCATCTCACCCTTTAATCTTGAAATGGATTCTTCAAACCTTTCATCCCTTCCGGAAGAACCCTTTGAGGGAATCCAGAATTACGATGCAACTGCAGGCAACGAAGCCGCTTCCGCTTTCTCTTCCGTTCCTGCTCGCCCTCCCACTCAGTAAACTCTCTTTGGATGCTTGTTTTGTTATGTTTTTATTTTTGTTTTTTAACAAACAACACATGATCAATTGAATGATTGAATAATCATGTGAGTTATCTATTGATTCTATTCAATTGTTTGTTATTTTTCAAAATAAGTAGAATATTTGTGGGATACATTTGGACTTCCGATTGATTTTGGATCCATGACTTGTAGTTTGCTTTGCGTTTATAAGTGCATCCTGCACTTTGCTGGTTCAGAATTTGGGCAAAACATTTAGGCCTTTTTTTTACTTGATCACTCTGTGGGACATCGGTATGGATGATTCATGGAAGAAACTTAAAAGCTGACAGTCCCACAGCTTGTTAGTTACAGACTATTTCCTAAGAAAAGTCTGAAATGAATAAGTATATATAGCTTACAGCCTTAGAGAAGGTGAGGTTAGAGCAAGATACAAATACAAACACTTGAGAAATAAGTGGAAACTTGAGAAGGTGAGGTTATATTAACAGCACTCATAGATCGCTCCTAGCCAGGCTGGTAATGTAGGTTTTGAGTCCCAACACTCTAAGGTCTTCTTGATTTATGCCCGATTTCATCCACTTTCTATTTTGATTAGATATGAGCCGATTTTGGATAGTCGAAGTAACCTGGAGAATTATTTCATTTACGCTGCAGCTTTCATTCTCATAGATGATGCTATTATAATGCTTCCAAATTGTCCACATGATGATCCCAGGAATCACTTCTCTCAGCAAACCCTTTAGTTTTTTTTGAGGTAGATGAGATCCATTATTCAATGGCAAATTGGCGAAGCCCAATGCCATCCACATTGTGTGGACCATTAGTAATGTTTCCAAAGTTTCTCCAAACTCTAGCACTCACCTCATAAGTAATTAGAGTATGTAGAGCTGAGTCATCCATATCTCTACACAAGCAGCACTGTGATGGAAGATTCAGGTTGAGCCTTCTAGATTTTCTGGGAATGGTATGGCATTGTTAAAGACTTTCCAAAGGATTAGTCTGATCTTAGGAATCTGGTACCTGCTCCAATTCATCCAGACATAATAGGCCCCCCTTAAGCTGAAATCATCACTCCCCTTTCCCTGATGGATATTAGTGTGAGAAAGACCAGTATCATGGACCCTGACAATTCTTTTCCAAGTTGAAATTGCATACCCTTTCAATATAGGAGTTTTCCTTGTTGTCTGTTGTCTTCATGTAGTCAGCCCAAATACTATTGTTATTATTAGCAAAAGTATTCCAATTTCCACTACAGCTTTAGAAAATAAGCATTTTGTAGTTTGTCCAAGCCCACTTTCCTCTTTAGGCAGATAGATTTTTACCCATGAAAGTCAATGATATTTTGTCTTTGCCTTCTTAAACGCCAAAATAGTTACTCATTCTTATATGAAGACTCCGTATGACAGATTTAGGAAGTTGGTGGGTTGCCATAACATGAAGTGTACCAAAATCTGTTAAGAAGGTTGTGGGAAACTGATTGATCATTTTTCATAGAAACTTATCAAGTTAGTACAGTAAGGTTATTAATCCCATGGGAAGACTAATCCTAAATCTCTTATGACAGATTTAGGAAGTTGGTTGGTAGCCATAACATGCTTAATAAGGATTAGTCTTCCATGGGATCAATAACCTTACTGTACCAACTTGATAAGTATCTATCAGAAATGATCAATCAGTTTCCCACAATCTCCGTTCTTAAGTTTTCCTCTGGTCATAGATGCTCCAAGGTAATTGAAAGGAAGGCAGCCATGGTTCATATGTAGCCCATCAGAGACTCTTTTAATGTAGGTTGGACTAGTTTTTTGTTATTATAAAATTTTCTCTTTGTTAGATTAACACCTTTTCGGGAGGCTTCCAAATAGGAGAGAAGATAAGCATATAACTTGTCAATGAACCAACTAAACTAGAAGCTCAAGCTTTTGATTGTAAGCCCAAGAAAGGATTGTATATTCTAACACGTTCCCTCATGTGCATGCTTGACTACTTTGAACATTGCACGTGAAACTTGAATTTTTTGAATCCGGGTGGCACTGAGTTTCAAACCTGTAACCTTTTAGTCAGAGCACCTTTTAGTCAATAAGGCTCTGATAGCATGTTAAGGAACCAACTCAACCAAAAGCTCAAACTTGTGGTTGTAGGCTCAGGATAGGTTTTATATTCTAACAAAACCTTAGCAGGTTCCTAATATTACCATTGAGAGAAATAACCATATCATTCGCAAAAAAAGATGGCTAGGAAGTTTTTATACTGTTTTATATTTTTTGAAAGTTTTTATTGTTGATTTGATGTTCCATCATAGCATACAAATGGCAGTTTTATATAAAACGCACCTCATATTTTCACTCATTTATGCAGGCCGTCTTCTTCACAAAAATTTGAGCCTTTAGACTGGTCTGACTACTTTGACAGTGAGGATGATTTACAAATCTCAGACTCTAATGATGTTAGTGATTATTTTTTGGTTTGAAATATTTTTCTCTTTTATATATTCTTTGTAATATATTATGTTGGTGATTTTAAATAACTTGTTTCTGATCTAAAATTGAAGAATCATTCAATCATCTTTAGTTTTTTTGGTGATTCAGGTCTTTCACGTTTACTTGGCAGGGACTGGAGGACCGGTTGTTTTCTGCTTACACGGTGGTGGTTATTCTGGGTATTTTGAAATTTATCTTTTTAGGAAAATTGTATGCATATTATCCTAAAAACTATTTCAATTTCATAGTTCAGTAATTTGCTGCATGTTTAGTTTGTTAAATTTCAGCTGTATAGAATTGAATAGCTTTCACTGAGCATACAGATAGACATCATCTTTAAGTGCTTTTCCTTCCCATAATTAATATAATGTTAATTCTCCCCTTCTTTAAATATATCATTCATGTTCTAGACTATCGTTTGCATTGGCTGCAAGACAAATGAAGGAGAAATGTACCGTAGTTGCCATGGACTTGAGGGGACATGGGAAGTCATTCACAGAGAATGAATTGGATTTGTCTATTGAGGTCTTTACTATTTAAATTTTCTGCTTTCTTTTGTTAGCATCGTTGCCCGTTGTGTGATTAATTTGTTTACAATGGTTACAGACCTTATGTAGTGATGTAGTGGCCGTATGTAGAAAGATGTATGGAGATTCTCCACCTGCAATTGTGCTGGTTGGCCACAGGTTGCACTAAGTTCATGAATTAGGAAGTATCTAGCTACTGCTGAACTAATATTCTTTTATAAACGCACTACAGCATGGGAGGTGCCGTTGCAGTTCATGTTGCTGCAAAGAAAGCACTATCTAGTTTGGCTGGGCTGGTTGTTGTGGATGTTGTTGAGGTCTAAAATCTCTTAGTCCTGAGCTAATGTTTTTAATTGTTTTTAATTGTTGAGCTCCACAAGCATCTACTTTCCCAACATTTCAGGGTACAGCAATGGCCTCGTTGATTCATATGCAGAAGATCTTATCAAACAGAATGCAACATTTCTCCACCCTTAAAAAAGCGGCAAGTTATCTTGAATTATTTGTCCTTTTTAGATAAATTACATGTACAAATTTAACACGTGCATATTATATAATTCAATTAAACAGAATTATGCACTGTGAATTAATTTAGTATGTTGTCATCTTTGTCTTTGATCTACATTAAGGATGATACTCATTTGAAATATGCATGTATATTTGTAGATTGAATGGAGTGTGAAAGGCGGCACTTTAAGAAATATCGACTCTGCACGTGTATCAATACCTAGCACATTGATATATGATGATTCAAAGAATTGGTGTGCATAAGAATTGCTTTAGTTCTGGCATTCAGCATTCTTCTCTTCTCTTTCCAATAGAACTCTTCTTCCATTTCCATTTAACTATTGCACCTCTACTTCCACCCGATTTAATATGTTTTTAATGGATATGTGTGCTGTAGTTACACACATCGTGCAAGACTAGAAGAAACTGAACAATACTGGAAGGGCTGGTACAACTTTTTATGCTAATCTCAAGTTTCATTTGAGTGAGGTCATCTGTGATATGCCGTTATGGCGTTAATTACACGCTTAATTTGCTATCATTTTTAGTTTTTTAATCCACTGCATTCATTTCTGGAACTTTCTTTTTCTTTACTAGGACATTTAAGTAATTTATGCACACATACAAACCACTTTGATCTTGTAAATAACGGTATTGCGGATGCATTTGGAATCTATCATTAACTACATTGCATTCAAGAATGTGTACGGGAGTTCTATTGCATTAATGTTTAAACCTCTCTGTACCACAAATTCAATAGTATCATTTATTTATTTATTTATTTATTTCTTAATCTTTTTCATTACTATAAGTACTACTACTGCAGAAATTATTGATTTTATTATTACTATTATTATGAACTATTGTCATTATTACAACTATATTTTGTTTTTGTTATTAGTATATTACTACTCCCTCCGTCTCAATATAAAGTTTATATTGAGGAGTCATACAACTTATTAAGAAAGTGGAAGTGTTTGATTTAAATTTTTTAAATGAAAATAAAATTGTCAACACAAATTATTTAGTCAAAGGAAAGTGAAGTTTATTTTGGGACAATACAAAAAAGAATATTGAAGCTTTATTCAATTGAAGGGGTATTAAAATGATTATTATTATTACTATTATTACTATTATTATTATTATTATTATTATTATTATTATTATTATTATCGTCATCTTCTTCATCATCATTTTCGTTATTATCATTTTGGTGTTGCATGTAATATAAATAATTTAAACATTTATGTACCGTTGTATTACCATTGGCCATTATTATGTTGATCATGATTTGAATAATTAAGGTTATGAGATACAAGACTAAGAAAAATAATCCTTCTGTTCACGTTTCATGGTTTTATTTAACACGAATTATTTAGTATTATCTCTTGGACATTTTGTTTATCGAAGAAATTTGCAATGAAGCTATATGTAGTTATACTTGCATTTCAGGTACGAAGGGCTCTCAGAGTTGTTTTTGTCAAGTCCAGTACCCAAACTATTGCTTTTAGCTGGGACAGACAGGTTGGACAGGTCAGGTTTCTAATATGCATTTATTAGTGCTCATTCTTAAAAACTTGTATGGAGACTTAGCCAAAGCAAAAAGAAAAGAAGAATGTTTTTGGCAAGTGTTAAACTGTTTGCTTATTCTGTCATACTATGCAAACCTGTTGAAGTTTGTGATCATGCACACGAGACTAGAAGTTCAGCAATTTGAACTCTGAAGTTTAATTTCAAAAGATTAAGGCACACTATACTTGAAGCAATTTGTCTATGATTTCTTTAAAGTTGATACTAAGAGCTTGTTTTTTAGGGTTTAAACTCTTAACTTCCAGTTTGTTCCATTTTCTTCCAACTATTTTCGTTTTCTTCAAAGTCTTTCTACTCCCCAACCAATTATTCTAAAAACGATATATTTTAATGTGATTATTATTATTATTACGACTATTATGTTCATAACTATAGTTTATAAATTTATTCATTTTTATCTCACTATTTTACGATTCACACTTATTATTACTTTTTCTTCAACTTTTTAATATGAATAGTATAATTTTTTTTGTATATTAATCTACATGATAAAATATGAAAACATCAATATTTTAAACTATATTAAAAAATTATGGATAAAATAGTTACATAGAATGTTTTATTAATCTAAATTTATATAAGACCCCTCACCTTTCCCTTTATTACTCATTTTTTTCTCATTTTTATTTATTTCAAAATTTAATTTTGTTTTTCATTTTTCTAACTTTTATAAAAAAATTGAAAGTCAAAATAGTTCAGGGAAAAAGATTAGAGTAGGAGTAAAACATAAAAGAATAAACAAAAATAAAAGTTCTATGCCTTTATTCCAAAAATAGGAGTTGCAATGAAAATAAAATGACAATCTTGAAAGAAAAAATAGGTTTGAATACATTATGTGACATGTCTGGTATTTAAAACAAAATCTTGTAATATATAAAGTATAATTACAAATATATTATTTTATAATAAATTTATTGCATAAATAAATTGAGGTGCAACGTAACCACAATAACTTTTTAAAATTTAACATTTTAATATTTATGCTAACTTTATATTCTAATTAATTTTTTTTTTGCAAAAGTAGTTTTTTTGTGTATGAAAAATAACAATACTTTTTTTATTATCTTAAAGACATTTATTAAGATAACGTGATGATGATGATGATGGTGATGATAATAATAAAAATTTATAACTAAAAGTATTAGAATGAGAATAATATAAGATTACACTAAAATAAAATTTTAAAAAGTTTTTTTAGGTTTTCCAATTTTTTCAAGTATTTCTAGTTCCTTCCAACATCCAGATCTTTTTTTCGAGGCCTTTTAGAATCCGAGAATCGTATCTTAGGGTGACAGGGCATGATTTATTAATTTTGTGTTCTGTTAAAAAGCTTCAGAAGAACTGAAGTTGATAGATATCAGAGGATGAGCGAATACTTGTTTAATGCATATACATTATATAAGTACATGTATGTACTTTAACTCTTTAAAATAGTAACATGCTAAGTTTTTAGGGAGATGCACCTTCGGCTATGCGTAGTTATGCCTCAGAACCTAATTTGAGGAATGACACGATGAGGCGCACCTTTGGCTACCCGTGCAATTTTCTTCCATTTGATGTTGAATTGCATTTGTGAGAGAGAAAGTTCCACATAATAGGTACCAAATTACTCGCCCAAACTGCCAAACCATTTGAAAAATTGCAAGAGGAATGATCAAGAAAGTGCTATCGAAGCAGCAGTCATTTGTGGGGAGGGTGACATTCTTACAGGAGTCCAACCCCCTCAACTGTTCCCCTTTGACCGGCCATGAGGACACAAAGGCCCGGTATGGGTGTAATGCGAAGGCCGAGTCGTACGCTGTTTGTGTTTACGAAATTATCAGAACTACCCAAGTTCTGGAGTGAAGTAATGGTGGTTGTTATAAAAAAATACGCTAACTGTGATCATGTTACTACTCGTGACTCCCCATGGTAGCTAGCATGTATGCTGATTTTGGGTGAGTCGTCATTGTAGGTGGTCAGCATTTACCCTTTTCGACTGTCCAGGTCATGAAAAGATGGCGGGCGGCATTTATGACCAGAGTATTTATTTTCATCGCGATTGTAGCATATATTCTTTGCAATGCGTTCTGTCTTCTGTTCAGGAGAGAGAAATTTAAGACATGGTTTCGCCGTGGTGGGAGGGGCCTGAATTGGAAAAGGGAGACAGGCCATCTTGATTGCTCGACATTGGTCAGGAGTCAAGGCCTTCAATGAAGAGGTCCACACGCTGGTTAAGTTGCACTATTCACTCTGAATGAGAACACAAAAATCATGGACAAAATCATCTATATGACACTCACGTTAAAAGAGTTGCTTTAATTCTACCATGCTATTGAGGGTGATTGGCATGCCAAAACTGAGGTGGCACTCCTCTTTAAAGGCAGTCCACAATGTGAACGAATCTGGTCGGTCTTTAAATAAAACCATAGCCTTGCTTCGCCTGCATGTGTTGGGCCTACATTTTTGGCCCGCTTTGACTCGGGGATATGAGTTTTGTGTATGTAGGATTTATAATCCATCTTCTTGTATTTGATTAGGAAGTCATAGGTTTAGGTAAAGACTGTTTGCTTGATATGCTTCCCGCTATGGGTCTGTGCTCCTGGAGAGAATTCTTCCTGCCACTGGAGAAAACCGGCTGAAGGAGAGAATAAAAAACAGAGCTACAAAAAATAGAATCAAGCTTAATTAGTTATTCCATAATAATGTAAATAGGTTTAGTATGCCATCTTTTATAAAGGCTTACATGCCTAAAGCAATAAAGAAGCCAATAATACTTTTAACAATTAATTACTTTCCAAAAGAGTTCTATTGAACATTAAATAAGGTAATTCATTTACTCCTCGGTGCTTGTCTGGTCTATCCGCAACACCTGCTCACACCAAAGGTGGGAATACTGCTCTCATGTGAATCCATGGACTTTGTGTAGTTAACATAACACTAATATTTTTAGGTATTTATCTATTCATTTATTTCTTTTATGTATTTATTTATTTTTTGTTAGTTTGCAAGATTTAACTCTGAATTAACCGCAACAGTCCAAAAATTATTGTGGTATAAGATTTTACAATAAGTGATGGAATAAAGTTTGATATCCGATAGACTCAATTTTTATTTGATATTCCCTAATAATGTAAATAGGTTTAGAAGTAGTAGTTATTGTATATCTTGTTGTCATGTCTTCAGGAACTGAAAATATCATGAATTGTTCGGACATAGGCATTACCCCTGTGTATTTGTTTGCACTTTTACAGATCTCTTACAATTGGTCAAATGCAAGGAAAATTTCAAATGGTGGTTGTCCGACATACTGGCCATACTATACAGGTCCAAACACTTTTTTTCTTATGGTGATTTCTCATCGCTGGGTATTCTGAAATTGAAGATCTAACTTATACTGAATCCTGCTGGAAGACGCACCTAATGAATTTGCTGACTTAATACTGAATTTTATTTCTCGCAATCGGATCAGCCGGTATGGAGTTGAGGTTAGTTTCTTGGAACATCTGTATTATTGCAATTAACCTATTGAGAAAAAAGATGATTAAACAAGTCCTGCTAATGGTATTGGGAGGAAAACTAAAATAAGAGTAAAACATAGGGAAAGAATCAAAATAGGACCTTCATGTTTTTATCCCTAAAATAGGACTTATAATGTCATTAATGCCAACATATAATATCAAAAAACACTGTGGAAGGCTAATATACGTTGCCGCATTGTCACAATACAATAGTTCTATTGTTTAGATAAAAACATGTCACTTTTATTATGGGGATAAGCATTATGTTTTGCACACATTTTGGTGATTTCTTAACAAAATTTACCCATTGCTGTCTAACCTTTGCTTGAATAAGAGTGTTTCTTGTGTCAGTTGTGTGTCAGCTTGCTGCCCCACTTTTTCCTTTGTCTCCATCACGCTTGTTTGTAAACATGATTTGTATCATGACCACATTACTATTTGTTTTTTTTCTCACTATGAGGAAGGTTTTTGAATGGGTGGTATGTAGAAAACATTGAGAGAGAAAACCCACCATTATGGGTACCCTTAGGCCCTGGCAGTGCATAAATAAGACTAGTAGTGTTGGGATTTTAAGCGTGTAAGACTCCGAAAAATACATATAACTAAAAAAATAAATCGGCACACAAGTAGGGATTTTAATGAGAAAAATTATATTCACTATTTCAAAATAACATGCAAAAAACTCTTCCTGCTTACATGCACTTATAAATACACTTATAAATAGTTTTGTCCACAACCTAAGTCCGGGTGTATTTTTTTTTAAATAACTATAAGACCAATTACTGCCTACACTCACTCACACAATTCCAGTAATATCATGATACAAAGTTTTTAATTAATAGACGTTTCTCGACCCGTTTTTATGTTGTGCAGATACCTGGCATTGGCAGCTGGTCGAAACCAAAACCTTGAAACCGCAAAAAACCATTAACGATTAACCTAAAGGTAAGAGACCACTGGTGTGTTACTGGGGGGGGGGGNACATTTCATGATATTAGGAATATCTCAAGTCTCCCCCACCCTTTTTTTGTAAATAGAGGACTTTTCCATTTCTGACATACTTTTCACAAATTCAACTGAGTTACTTTCATGGAGAAACAATGTGAATTATCAAATATTGGAGTATTAAGGTCCGTTTGGTACACGGAATTGAAATTAAAATTCTATGGAATTGAATTGGATGGAATTAAGTTCTCCCATTCCAATTCATTTTTTTGCACTACCAATTCCAAATCCATATATTTTTGTGCTACAAAACAGCAATGGAATTGAAGTTTCCAATTCTCCATGGCTTGAATTCTGTGTACCGAACAAAATTGTACACTAGTATCGCTTTTTTGGGTGTATTAATGTGATTTTTTGTGGTATCAATTTTAGCCAAATAAGTTAGCCGAAGCTACATGAATAAACTCATCAATGCTACTAACATTCTTTTGGTTCTAGGAATTTGGGAGAAATTAGGATTTCCTTCGAATTTTTTTTCTTTCAATGGCGTTTTCTTTTCCTACCCCATTCCCCCCAGCAAACATAGTGCAAGTGTTACACAATTTAATGAATTTAGCCTCATGCTTCTAGCCTAATTGAGTAGTAGCCGTGAGCCCGTGACAAGCGCAAAAGTTTGTCGATTATTTGGTCAGTGTTTCTCTATTTATAAGTTATTTAAACATTTTGGGTCGACTCGAGTCTTTCACATTTTACCTAAAGGATTCTATGCAATAGTTCTTTGACCATAGGGTTTAAACAATATTTTTGTAGATTTTTGATGTAGTTTTAGACCAAAAATTGGTGAATCAACGTTAGACCAGTCCAATTGGGAACCTTTTACACCGGTTGAATGACGAAGTTGGCTGGCACTAGGGATTTGACCTCTTCAGATGTTTTTGGCAACTTTGATGGTAGATAGAGATGAATGGCCTGTTTGGGAATAACGTTAGATATTAGTTTTAGCATTTTGGATAAAATATTAACAGTATAGAATTGACTTTGATAACGCTAATGCTAAACGCTGCACATAGATAACCTTTTCAAAACGTTAATACTGATCTCTACCGCTATTCTCAAACACGCCAGAAGGCAAAAAGGCAAAGGAGATTCAACCTAACTTTTGTCGGAGCTTCGATTTGCCTTTCCTTCCCGAATATGCCTTTTTGCCATATTAAATTTTACATCAGAATGTGTATTTATTTTTAATATCCAAATGATCATTGTATAATGCGTAAATGTACTCCGAGTAAATGTTCACTTTTATATAATTTCATTTTCAAAATTTCAATTGTGTTCTTTTGTGGATTAGAACCGGTGTTAGCAACAAAAAGAAAAATATTATACCCCATTCGTTCCAAACTGTCTTAATTTGACTTTTATGTTAACTTTGACCACAAATTAAATACGGAGTATAATTTTAAATAAATAAATAAGTTACAAGAAATTAATATGTCAAAGTTACATCTTAAAATGAACCCAATCATATTAACTTTATAATTAAATACTTTTTTTTACAATTTATGGTAAAAGTTAGCATAAAATTCAAGCTAAGGCAAATAATTTGGGACAAAGGGAGTGCATTTCATTATTTTAACAATGAAATAAGCATGATGCAATGTTTAAATGCGCACACATTAAGTTTAGAGTGAATTCCATAAATAGTTCCTAACTACGGGCAGTTTTTCATATTTAGTCCTCAATCCTTAGATATTTCATAAATGATCTTCAATTTTTTAAAATTATTTTATAACTAGTCATTCATGAATTATTTGCGAAAAAAATATTTTCTCATATTTGGTCTAAAGACTATTTATGAAATAGTTTTTCAAAATTAAGAACCATTTATTGAATATTTAAGAATTAGAGACTAAATATGGAAAACCACTCGGAGACCATTTATAGAATTTACTCTTAATTTCATAACGTGAATGCTCCAAATATAAGCAAAAAATTTATACGGAGTATCTAATAAAATATAGATGTGCACGATGTGGAGTATAGGAACTTTTTTCTAATTTTATGTTCTTCGAAATTTATCCCTACATATTCACTTGTAACGCACTTGGGTAAGAGGTGTTTGAGAGTGCATTTGAAAATAAATTATGTCTTTTACATTACTAAAACATAATTTTAAATGTTCGGTAATCTATTTATCTTATAAATTATGGCTTTAGAAACAAATATTAAGGTTTAGAAGTGTTTTCTAGCAAAACTAAAAATACCTACTCTCTGCTTCTAAATTATGACTTCTACGTGTACATTACTCACCACACTCTCAAACACTTTCTAAGACTAGAGATTGTAGAGAATTTCAATCCATTTATTTCGGCATTACGAAACAGCTCTGCATTGTTAGTGCCCTATATCAGACTCCATGGCATGTATTTGCAATTTCTATTTTCTACCCTGCTTGAAGGAGTCCAAGGACTTGTTCTGATCTGATTGGAATAAGTTCTAATTTAATCCGATCTGAACTGATTGTAATTATATTTAAAGCTATTTTTAATATGATCCGTTTCCAATAAAAATAAGTAATAAGTACTACACTACTACATAATAAGAATATGTTGAAGAGAATGATGTTTTAGAAAGGCTAGAACATAGTTGTCTGAATTCAAAATCAGGGATTGATCAACAATAAAGACCCCGAGTAAGAGGAACATCTATAGTTCTACTTGTTGCTTGCAAATTTGCCTCTTCATGTTAACGAGTTCATAGACATGCATAGACAACGGCGGGCTCAAACAAACATCCTCTTACTGGTGGACTCGTGTCTGCGCGTCTGTATGAAGGGAACAAAAAAGTCCAAAGGCAAGGTTCAGGGCACACTCGGTACAAGAAAGTCTCTTGTCAATGAACTCGTGTCTCCGTGAAGGAAAGTGTGGTCCTAATGTGGATGCCCTACAAGGTTTAGGACATCAGCTTAATTACAGGCTTCAGCTTTACCTATTGGGGCATCTGACAGGGCTCTTTGGCAAGACTACATAGTTTAACATACTTGAGCTAGCAGTAGAGGAGAAGACAAGGCAATGCCTATATGGATGCAAGCTTTTCTCCCCGGACTAAGTCGTTCCAAACATAACACTGCATAGAACAGTTTGATCTACTGGCAAATCCAGGCAGTTTATCATAATGCTGTATGAATAATTTAAAGTTATGAAAGATGAAAATCTAACCAAACTGTGGCTTTTCCTTTTCCCGCTAGATGGGGTCTACTATATCAACCGGGTGATTCAATTCCTCCCTAGCGAGCACCCGTCTCCTTCTGGGAGCCACAATCGTGCATTCTGTGACAGATGGAACAATCTTCAACCATCCTACCCTTTCTATGTTGTCAACAACAACCCAGTAGGATCCTACAAATGAAGGGTTAATGAGGGTGTGTGTAACAGACCTTACCCCTATTCGAAAGTACAGAGACTGTTTCCAAGATCTTCTACCTCCCTATAGTAGTCAAACAAAGTGCACCTAGTTTCTTGCGGAGTTCCTTCACGCCTAGTACTTGAATCGAGACAGTTTTTACCTATGTTAGCTACCATTAGAGCACTCACAATGGTGAGGGAAAAAAATCATCACCAATCTCTCTACACTTTCCCTCTCTTCCACATCATCAAATTTGGTGTGTAAAGTTTTTTTTTTCCAAATGGTTTCCCAATGGTGAGGAAACACTCCTCACATCCACTCTCTTACTTTATTGGGAAAAACTATTCCACACATTGTGTAAAAAAAACCTTCTCATGTGGAAAAGTTCTGAAAAAACCCAAAACTCACCATTGGGAACAAAAAAATTCCACTAATGTAAAAATCCATCACCATGGTGAGAGCTCTTAGAGGTAAGGTGTTAAATAGCATTTCAGGGTATCAATCATTTCATCAGAACCAATAAGCATTTAAGGTGTGTTCCTGATTCAGCAATAGCATCTTATATGTGTTTATTTCCATCAAATAATATTTCATCAAATCAGTAATACCAAAACCCAACTAGAACTACCACACAAACAAGAAAAATCCATTTTGCCGCATACCTTATTTGGGCATCTCAAAATGAGGTTCGCATTCCTTTTCAGAAAATAATTGGGTGGGTTATATACAATGGCATAATATTTTGCAGCTCAACCGGGACAAATAAAACTTAAAAATTTTCATGCAACATAGTTCAGAAAGTATCCTATAGTAACACCATAAGCAAGACAAGGATCCATACATCTTTTAATAAAAGGATGACATCAATACATAATCACATGAAGATAAAATTTTGAGCTTGAATAAGATGGCACATCAATGAAAGAAGCATGACCACAAAGATACCTTTAGCTTCAATGCCTCCCTCAATCCGTCAACGAAAGCAGCATTTGCAAGTATTTTTCAGTACCCAATATCGCTAGGATCTCCAATATATTCTGCAATTTGCTCAAGCCGCACGTTAAGCAACTCATGTGTATCCGCGTTTCGCACAACACCGGTCTCCTTCTCACTGTCTCTTTCAAGAAGGCTTCCAAACACGCCCTTATGCCTTCCATACAAAACAAGGACAGGGCCTCCACGCTTAGGCAGTGCCGTTTCAAGCTGGTCCTGATTCACACCTTGGATCAATTCCTGACTCTCGTCCATTGATATATCGCAAGTTGATGGCCCGACCACATCCACCACTTTTCCTTTCTTCAAATATAATTTCCCCCGTTTCAAATACTTACTAATAATCCTAACTCTTATATGGCTGGCCAGCCAAGAAATCTGATCAGCTGCCTTTGCATTTGAATCATCTCTAGCATGTCTGCTATTTCTCCTGTCAAGTGTTCTTTCCTCCCTGCCTTCGCTATCCCTCATTACTTCATCCCTACGTTCTCTGTGATGTCTAACCCTTGATGAATCTTTATCGCTGTCTTTAATCTTCAACTCTTTCAACTTCCTCATACATTTATCATCTTCTACAGAACCCAAGTCCGCAACATCACATGCTTGAACAATCACCTCTCTGTCATCACTAGAAAGCCTTACGATCACATTTCCACTACTTCTGACCTTCACAACCTTTCCCTTCATCCCAATTTCCCTACCTCCGACTACCCTCACGTGCTTGCCCACGAACATTCCTTCACCTTCTTTTCCTCCCCTTGCTTCCTTCCCGTTTGAGGTTTTTCCATCACTCTTTTCATCACTATCATTCTTGTGCACGGCTTTACCCTGATCGGTCTTTGGTAATGCAGCAGCAAAACCAATCCCTTCCTTTGCAGACCATCTTTTGAATTCCACCACTTTTACATCCTCCTTTGCATTCCGGCCAACACCTCTGCCTTCATACCAACCATACCCCTTGAGCAGAGCAGCCGCAAAGTTCTCTACCGGCATAGCGGCATACACATCCATATCATTATCATCCGGAAGCCTCTTCAAATCATCTTTAAGTTTTCGTAACATGGGGTCAGGATTAGGGTTAGGGTCTTGCGATTTATCCGTATTCACATCGTCGTCACTTTTTCCGACCGACTGCCGGATATTCAATCCGTAAGAAATAGAGCCAGGCGAAGGTTCAACGGAGGAACCGGTGTGTACCTCGAACAGTAACGGCTGATCGTCTGAAGATCTGATTGAAGGGAGGTCGAGATTCTTCATCCGCTTGCGAGGCTCCCATTCGTTGGCAATCGGAGGGATCACAAAATCTGAAACAGATCCGGGTCCTGCCGGAGCTTTCGATGAGTCGTACTCGGTAACGTACTCTTTGACGGAGGACGCAGCAGCTTCCGAGTCGTCGGAAATGATGGCCTGAGAGGGTTTCTTAGCGTTTGAAGACGGCTTTGATGGAAGTGTGAAAGAAAGCTTCATAGCGGATGACCGGCGAGAATCGCGCGTCAGCGAGCTTCGAAAATATGGGAGGATTGATTCAGGAGCTTCGACTGGAAACTGTTTTCTGGGGGGTAATACAGAGTAAATAGAGAAAGATTTATGAAAAGGATGAAGGTTGGGTTGTATAAGGAATCCCCAAATTTGATCCATGTCTATGACTTTGTACAAGTCAAAAAATGTAATGACACATGGTGAATTTTTTAATCACTCTTTAATCACTCAATCACTCTATTCTTAAAAGTAGGGAAATTTTTTTCCCGCCCAATGCACTATAATCCTGCACCGTTGATATCAATGTATGAAAAAGATCTGCGGTTATGATTGGTTGTGTATTATTACCAAATTAGAAGGATATATTAAAGGAAACTTCTCACTAATTCATTTATACCAATTGAATGCATTGTAATCTGACCAAAAAGGAAGGAATTCAATGTTTTTACAACCGTGTGTTTTTTCTAGAAACATAAAGGGTGTTATTGATAATTTTTTATTTTTTTACAACCGTGTAAAAAAAGGTAATTTATTCCTATGAAAATTAGCATTTTAAAAAAGGAAAGCTTTAAAGAAGGATATAACGTATATGTTTACAACCGTGTGTTTTTTTTGTAAACAGATTAACAAGGAAAAAAATTGAGAAATAAAAATTTACTTTATATTTTGATATCATTATTATTTTTTAAATATGTGATAAAAAAGGAAATTTATTCATACAAGAAAAGAGGTTATTTTAAAAATGGCAAACATAAAGAGATGGAACGTGATTATTTTAAAAAATATTTTATTCCTATGCAAATTACCATTTTAAAAGAACGAAAGATTTAAAGAAGGATATAATGTAAAGATTAAAAACTACGATTATTTTAGTACGTTAAAAAAGGTAAATTATTCCTACGCAAATTAGTATTTTAAAGAATGATATAACGTAAAGATTTAAAACCGTTTGTTTTTTTGTAAACAGATTAAAAGGGCAAAAAATTGTGAAAAAAATATAGAATTTTTATATTATTATTATGTTAATATGTGATAAAAAGGAAATTTATTCATATGAAAAAGGAGGTTATTTTTTTAGTACGTGATAACAAGAAAAAC